TAAATTCAACCACTCGTATATTAGCCGAGGGCCCATGCTGACACGGGAGGACAGGCCAGCTGTAAACACATTTGTGTCATTTCCTCTCGGATTACTTAGGCATGTGGTATCACTGGGAGAGCACAAATGTGAGGAATGTATTACTCATTTTTTTTTCTCTGCCGAGAGGCATTGAGAGCAGAACTAAACCGAGTAACTACACAAACTCAGTTTGAGGACGAGGCCAATAACACCAAGCATTCAAGTAGGGTAAGACGATAGCTAATTTAGCTGTACAACTGCTCATGTGTAAACAGCGATGATTAAAGTTAGACTTCTGGTTGTTCTACTCTTACGCATGGTAACTTTTCTGGAATGAAGTCAAGCCAATTATCACTGTAGTTCAGCGAGTTCAAAGTCTAAAGAGTTTTTGACAAACTTCCAAAAGAAATGTGCTTACAGGTCAAAGCTTTCTTTCTTTTTTCTCACGTGAAAAGCTTGGATTACATTTTTTATTTGTTAGAAGACCCCCCAAAGAGGTAAATCAGAAGTACAAAGGGGTGGAATTAGTATGACAGATGGGTTTCTAATCATATCTAGCTTAACGTGCTGTTTCCGACAAGAAAGACACCATGCCATCAATCACTTCCTTGACAATATAACTGACGCCCAAAGGGCCAGAGTAGGTGAAGGATATTACTGTGTATTAACCTCAGAGGGACACTGAAAATGATGAAATTTTTAATATTCCAAAAAAATTAATCCAAAGCGAGAGATTTGGCAGGAAAGCCTGCTAAAGGGCCATTTAGATACAGATCTATTAGCTTCGCACACCTCGAGGAATCTCATCTGTGAATTTCCGGACATTATTCCCAGTATTATCGCTGCATGAACAGACAAAGAGCAGCTGAAAATGTTGGGATTAGCTTTGGCTTAACGAGGAGAAACGGGGGATGATCATTTTCAAGACTGGGAAAGGGTTCTCACACCAGCCGGGACTCCTGCGAGGCCAGCTGCGTCTCCCGAGAGGGGTCGCTGATTTTACAGGTTATAAATTGCCACCCAAAAAACTTTGCAGTCAGCATAAACTGTCATTTCATTGCCACTCATGTCTGCAGGGAACTATGAAGACAGTTCCACAAGTACAGGGTAGTTCTACTGTTTTCCAACAATAGACGACAACTGCTTCCCAGAAAAACAAACGTGGGCGACTGAATAAAATCTTTCGCGTTCATGGCTGTTTTTGGTCGAGCTCTCAAATTACACTGCTCTTGTTCTTTGGAGCTCAGCGCTAAATCATGAGCAACCAGGCTCAACCTCTGATCCATCACTGTCAGAGCGTGATGAGAGACTACAAGCTCACTGTAGACATAAAGACAAAGCAAACAGAAGGGAGGGCCCACTACATTACTTCAGAGCACACCATACCTAGCACTAATTCCATAAATCCTTCCTGAAAATAAAAATAAAAGCAGTGGAATTTATCTTTTTCTTTTTTATTCAAGAGCCATACAAGTGTTTTATTCCAGTTTACGACGGATCTTGTCTACTTGTCCATTCTGCTTACCATCCTTTAAGCTAAACTGCAATGAGACATCCCATAGTCTGTGCAGGTAATGGTAAATCTGCCCTAACACTAATAATTCGCACACAGTAAACTCACCCATATGATCTATTCCTGTGTTAGCGAGAAGCTTGAATATGCGGTTTGATTCTACCCACCAATAACATCACAGCAGGCATGTGCTGGAGTAAATTTGGACTCCTCGTGGCTTCTTGATGCCGTACAGTAAAGAAAACAACTGACGCACAATATGAATGCTTTGTTTAATGGGACATTTAATCATAAGGACAAGCGTACAGTCTGTGTTTTTGGATCAGTGCTTTTGGTAATAACACTTGGTTGAATGACTGCCAGATGTGGAGCTCCACCCAGGATAGACTATACAGGCCTAATTTGGATGTTTTTTGGGCTCCAGTTACTTGATAAAATTACTCTAGACATAAACCCAAACTCCAAACTTAACAACATCCTTGCAGAAACTATGCGCATGGGCTGATTTTCAAGTCTCATATGACACAAGAAAGTTTCAAATATCTGCAAATGCAGTCGAGTCCTGTTTTGAAATACAAACTAACATTTTTTAAAAACGTGCGCCTTTGGAAAGTGCCTCAAATCTAACAAGTGGCTTATAGTAAAGCTCTTAAAAAACATGCACTGCAATTGTCTTACAACTCTTTATTACCAGCCAGTCCTCTGCCTTTCTTTCCCTCCTGGGAGTCCATTATTTGCTTTCCACTCCTGCACCCTGCCCTGGTATTCTCATATTTCCTCCATTGCACACCACCACCGCAAAGTACAAGAGCTCTGGGGTGCACGCAGCTTCGATTTACTGTCAAGATTATTCAAATTCCTTTTTATTTATTTTTCCCTGTCAAATGCTCAGTGATGGACCAAAACCAGAGTGTCAATTGGTTAAATCTGCTCTGACTTGACACAACACAAAGGCCTCAATCAATCAGCAGCTTGTGTCTCGGTGTGCGTTTCATCCCTGCAGACTGCCACACAAAGACCAGCAACTTTAATCAATGACACTGATGGAGAGGCAGTGGTTGCACAGCCTCAAAGCCTGCTTCTGATGTAAGGCCACATTACTGTAGTGGCTACATACCAACAACCTAAACCTAAACTTTAAAAGTGTAATTCTTGAAGAAAAAAAAGGCACCTGGCTAGTGTTAGCCAGGTGTGCTGTCAGGATCTAACCATGCCAGAGTAAAACCAGGTGGAAAAAGAATCACATCCATAACCTATGAGCTCTTACATTTATAATGGCATGTGTGCAATTTAGCAGCCTCTGCATAAATCACTGCATAACAGGAAGGGGTTACTGTTACACAAGGTTAGTATTTACACTGCTATTTACAGTATATAGCTGTGAAATGATAGTTTGTGGTCGGCTTATCAAGATATATTTATCTTTTCGTGTTTGTGCAGTATGAATAAGGGGGATAAGATGGTTATTAAGACGTCGCAAACAGTTCCAGTAACATTAACTTTCAGGAAAGAAACAGTCCTTACTGAGAATAAAGTGAATCTAGTGACTGATGGGATGTGTTTTCACAGCATGCATCTGTATGCGTGTACTCACAGTGTCACTGTTCTGTTCGGGAAAGAGAGAGAGTCCGGGGGCAACACCTGATGGAGCTCCATGTTGCTGCAGACCACTTTCTTGTAGGACGGCACGATTTTCCCACCGCTTTTCGAGTTTTCATCAAACGATTTGCACGCGGATGATGCCGCCGAGCCACAGCAGCCGCTCAGCAGCAGCAAAATCCCAAACAACTGCAAACGATCCACCCTCATTTTTAATTCACACGCGGCCAGAAAAGCACTGCAGCACCGGCGAAGGAAACAATGTTTTGATAACAGAACAGGCGGGCGGGTAGATGTTGCTAGACCCGGGCAAAGAAGAATGAGACCTTTGCAAGTATGTTGTTTGGCTCAAGCGAGCCTTCCTCCTCCATTTCTCGCAAGGCTTTCCCTTTGCTCGGCGGTGTTCAGTCCGACGGAGGTGTCCTTCTTTGTTTGGAAAACGACTCATTTAGAATTCCCTTTCCATGTTGGCATCGGCTTCCATTTCCTCCCAGCTCTGCAAATCTACCACATTTCAAATGCCGAGTATCCTCCCTGGTAGCTAAATAACTAGCCCAGTTGTTGAGAGGTTCCCTTTGTTGCCCATAGCGTGGGTCCAAGTCAGTGTGTTGTCTTATCCAAAGGAGGCGGCTGCAGTCATCCCAGGTTATCCGCTCCCAACTTCAGGAAACGCGGTTGGCCTTTTTTAACGCTCACTTTAAATTTCCCATTACTTCGAAACACGTACGGGACGACAAACAAGCGTGCAAACTCTCGCCCCCGGTCATGAACAGGAAATTACTTTGAGGGAAAAAAAACAGAGCGCAAAAACAACAACAGTTTTAGCTCAAACTGTGCTACCAGTGTGGGAAAAATACACTAAAAACTGTATAATAACGTATCCAGAGTAGTCGGCGTGTCCGTTTTGTTAACCGGTGTCTTTAGAAAAGATTTAAAACTAGCCTTATTTCCATTGAGAAGTCCTACTAGTCCCATAGTCCTGCCCCGGGAGCCACTAAAGTCAGGGGCGGTCAAGGCCGAGCAGATTCCAAACCACATCCGGTCCGCATTTCATAATAAAAGCACCAGGAGATGACTTCCTTTGAGTTTGGGGGGATGATTGCGTCTACGAGGTTCATTGGTTGAACGCAAAGGAACTGTTAAAAGTGTCTTTTCTGGATATGTACCTGTTGCACATCACCCAACAGTGCACAGTTACATGTAAAACTATCAACATAAGTAATATAGCATTTAAAATATAAACCTGCGATATAAAAATGCGATAAAAAAATATGGTGGACATTAAAAAATACTGCTGTTGCAGGACTAAAAAAAAAAGTGAGTGTTTATGTTTTTCTTGCTAATTTTATCGTAATACAGGATCTGTACTTTCACCTCTGGTCGTTTGGTCTAGTTTGCAGTTCACATGAAAGCCATGATAAGGATTTGTTTTTGCCCTGATACAGACGTTTGAATCTTTCCACTCCACCGAGTTGAGAATGTAATACTCTTGATAATCTGATAGTATTTGTTTGCCCTCTTGTCGCAGTCCATTGTGTTCATTTTGATGAGATCAAATGATTCACTTCATCATATAGAAAACTAGACTACAGCATTATTAGAACCCGTGCGAGGCTTAACGATAGACTGTATATGATACGGAAGCATCATATCATATGTGTTATAACTATAGTTCATTTTTGCATTTCTTATACTATCTAGACTCTAGATAGACAGAAGTATTTCTCTAGATTCTAGAGAAATACTTCTGTCCAAATTGTTAATAGCATCGTAATATTTGGGTCTTTACAATTTGAATTTGTTATTTGTTTTATAATTTTTTTTAAAAAAAAGTTAATACCATAAACTCACAGCAGAAACTCACTTAGTTGCTCTGCTTGACTGCAAAATAGACTTTTACTAATTTACCAAGCTGGCAACAGCCTTTGATTTTATCGCAACCCTCGACTCATTCTTGCGGTGCTTTCAGGTGCACCTCGGATTTCATTTCCTCATTTCTTAATCCCACATTCCTGCCCTAAATTGTGAACATGAAAAGACCGAATCCCGTGAACTAATGTGTTTTTGATTTATTATTATTTAATAACAGCATTAAGCTAGTATTACAGTAGTGGCATTGTGGAAAAAAGCAAAATCCAGCGAGATAATTATCCTCGGAGTTTCCCGTACTGGATGAAATCTTCTGTACGTGACTTACGAAACGTCACATCTCGCAGTAGTTCCTGGTCTGTGGACGTTAATGGCTGCGATGCCACATGAAACAAAAACAAAACAAAACAAAAAAACGTCCGCTTTGTAGGGAGACAAATCGCTTTGTGTATTAAATTTAAGAGAGATAAAAGCATAACGCGCTAAGATATAGGAACACCTTTGTTTCAGCGTCCTAATGCACAAAACATGTTCCCACGTGACTTTGCATGGGGAGCGGCGACGTCTGCGTATCAAATAGAAGGTATGTAAACAAGTTTTTGAATGGAGCACTGATAACTGTTATGGAGCGGGAGAGAGAGAGGGTTTTTACACTCCGAGAACCTCTAATGTAATTCGCTTTACCGTGAATACTTTACTTGGTAAATATTGGCGCTATTGACGCTGTAACATGCTTTAAATGAGTGTTTGGTGAAACTTAAGCATGTGTAAAGAAATAGTAGCCATTGCACTGAATATATTGGAGATACAGATAAATGAAAATGTATTCATCATTTCCTCATTTGTTGTTTTGACATTAGTGTAACAGGGCATTTGGTCTAATGGAGATCTGGTGACTAAACGGGCCTCAAGTCTGTGATTCATATGATTTTCTTATTCACCAAACCATTCGGTGACCTGTATGGCCCATGCATCTATGCACTGTCATCATGGAAGCCAACAACCCCCCATGACGCTTTCATGCCCATGTGCACTGAAGAATATGGTTAAGGCTGGCTCATCTCTCACCACCATATTACTTTTTGTTTTCTGTGACACAGTCTGATCATATCCCATAATGTTATTGTCAGTCACCCGAGGAAGAATGGCTCCTTTTCTGGTTTTCAAAACTCGAATGCAACAAAAAACCCTGCCGCCTGTTTCCTTCTCCTAACCCCTGACTGGTTGCAGCAGATAGCTGCGCATCCCTGAGCCTGGTTCTGTCAGAGGTTTCTTCCTGTTAAAAGGCAGTTTTTCCTTCCTACTGTCACCACGTGCTTGCTCACAGGGGGTTGTCTGATTCTTGGACATTTCTTTTTAGTATTGTAGGACCTTTACCTTACGATATAAAGCAGCTACACGCGACTGTTGTTGTGATTTGGTGGTATATAAATAAAACTAAGTTGAATATGTTCTTCTGAACATTTGTCACTCATGTGGTACACATAAAAAAATATTGGCAGACTAATACAGTCTTTAACACACTTATGTAATTAGATGAATGTAAATAACCGCTAGAGTAGATGACGTCTTAGATGCTGTCACAATAAATTCACAGAGTGATATATCTATATGTCAACACTTTACCTGTTTTTCTGAACAACCTTTACGCGGTCGTTCAGGTGGCTGGCAATCGGACGGCAAGGGACAGAGTATCTGGGACACATTTTGTCATGAGAAAGGCAGAGTGTTTGGGGACCAGAATGGAGATGTGGCCTGCAACAGCTATGAGCTGTGGGAGAAAGACCTGGAGTGTATCCAGCAGCTTGGGCTGACGCACTATCGCCTGTCTTTCTCCTGGGCCCGCCTCCTGCCTGATGGGACCACGCAACATGTCAATCAGAAAGGTATTTTCATAGACCTGAAACACACATGCTGGAATTAGATCCAGGCCTATTTGATGGCTTTAGGCAATTGTATCTCATTACCCATTTATGGCACTCTCTGTTCAACAGGTGTGCAATACTACAACAAAGTGATTGATGATTTGCTAACCTCAAATGTCTCACCGATGGTTACCCTTTACCACTTTGACCTGCCTCAAGCTCTGCAAGACCAGGGAGGCTGGAAATCACCTGGTATAGCCAGTCTCTTTGACAATTACGCTCAGTTTTGTTTCCAAACATTTGGGGACCGTGTCAAACTTTGGATCACTATCAATGAGCCACAAGTGTGCGCCAAACTGGGACACGAAGACGGCATCCATGCCCCAGGGTTAAAAGAGAAAGGCACTGCTGCCTACCTGGTAGGACACAACATGCTGCGGGCCCACGCCATGGCCTGGCACAGCTACAATTCTCGCTACAGGTCAGAGCAGAAAGGTGCCGTGTCTATTGCCCTCAACAGCGACTGGTGTGAGCCATTAAACCAAGGTTGCCCCAAGGACATTGCTGCTACTGAACGTGACCTTGCATTTAAACTGGGATGGTTCGCCTGGCCCGTGTTTGTTACCGGTGATTATCCAGAAATAATGAGATCTGCTATAGACGCTCAAAGTAGGAAGCTAGGATACAATGCAGCCTCAAGGCTCCCCAGTTTCTCCAAGGATGAATCTGCCATTCTGGGAACTGCCGACTTCTTTGCGTTGAACTACTACACGTCTCGCAAAGTCAAACCAGGAGGAGGTTGTGAAAAGATGTTGTGTATAAAGGGAGACCAAGATACAGAGGAAGTTTTGGATTCATCCTGGCCCGTCAGTGGACTGTCCTGGCTGGCTGTAGTGCCAGATGGCTTGAGGAAACTCCTAAAGTACATTAAGGTAAAACTTTTTCCTAAAAATCTTTTTTTTTCTTTTGGTTACAGTCTGTGTGGGGCAGCCAATCAGAAGAAAGTTTCCTTAAAAAATGGGGGGAGGGAGTATAAAGCGCTTGTTTCAGATAAATGATTGACTAAGATAATTCACCAGTCCCGGCATAACATAAATAAGGATTATTTTAAACTGTGAGCCATGCACAGCTACTGCAGTAGAGTCCAAAAATGTAAAAATGCACAATTTTACGCTAATATATTACACTAAAAATAACCCAAACCAAGGGCCGACCAAATCTTTTCATTACAGTTTGGATTCACCTTGCGGAAAAGTAAAGTCGGTGCTCAAAATGAATTGACCAGCAACAAGATAGATCACCTTCAACCGTACGAGGAGAACACTGGCATTTGTTTAGTGTCTCACTATTGATTTTGCATGCAGCAATCTCTTTTCGACACCTCCAGAAACACACTGATGCTTCATTAGTGCTGTCACATTGAATGAAACAGTTACTTTGCTGAAAAGTGTTTGCAAACGAGCAATTTCCTGCTGTTGTGACTTGTCACACGCCATTAGTCTGAGCCTGGCACCGTTGAAACGCAGCTGAACGGCACACTGTAGACCAATCTGTCTCCCCCTGGAATGTCTGACAGGCTGTGATGCCTTGTTTGACAATAATATTTGCCCTATGACTTTGCAGGACACTTTTAACAACCCCGCGATCTACATTACAGAGAATGGTTTCTCTCAGGTGGGGCCACTGCAGATCGAGGATGCCCAGCGCTGTGTGTATTACAAGGACGCCATCTCAGAAGTGGCAAAAGGTAATGGCTAGTAAATCGGGACTGCATAAATCCTGCCTATTTAAAAAATTAAAAGCATGCGAATCGGGAAAATAATGGTTAAAATACCATTTTAATTCTGCAGCTTCTCCAAATTGACAAATTTAGTCTTGTTTAAAGCAAAAAACATTTAATTGGTTTGATGTACCTTTAATCTTCTTGCTATCATTTATCATAAATTTGGTTTCCAAAGACTGTTTGTGTTGTATCAAAAGGTTTTTATTTACCTCACTTTCAAAGAGGGGTACCCAGTGCGGTAAAGTTAATACTTGTTTCATTACCATTTCATTTCAGATGCCTTTGACAGCGACACTATAGATACAAGCGTTACACATACGTCTGTGTGTATCTTACGCATACGTTGCTTCTGCTAATCAATTTTTAGCGCATTAACACTTTGGGGTCACGGGAATGTGTTGTGATTCAGATCTGTGAATAAGTGTTCATCAAACAGCGACGCCAACTGATTACTTTTATGCAATGAATATGTCGTTTGCAAAGAGAAAGATAAATACACGCGTCTTTATTATCCATCTGTTTGATGTTTATGAACAGCAGTTTTTGCTATATCTACTTTTTATAATGAAGATATAAATGAGTGGACCTAGTAAACAGGTTTTTGCTAGTACTTTAGAATGATCCTTTTGTCACATATCATGATGGCTCTATGTAACTCCTTTCTTCTGTCCTTGTATAGCTATACAAGAAGATGGGATCAACGTCCGTGGATATTTTGCATGGTCTCTGATGGATAACTTTGAATGGGCCGATGGATTCAGCGTTCGTTTTGGCTTATTCCACGTGGACTTCAGTGATTTGAAGCAGAGTCGAACTCTGTACCAATCTGGACGGGAATATGCAAAAATCATCTCAAAATCCCGATCTGGCCAGTCTAAATAAGAGTAGCTGGAAAAAATGTGCGTTACTATGTGAATTATGAACATGCTTTTGCTTTCAAGAACTGGAGTCAAGAATCCAGATTTATTTTTTTAAGTATTGCCTATGAATTCTTTTGTAGTTTAACAAAAACAGCTGGTGAATTGTCTCAGGAGTATAATTTCTCACTCGCCTTTATGATGTGAAGACAGGGACAAAATAAGGTTATGTTAATTCGGTGGTATTTAAATCGGTATTCTATCCTGCCAAATCCCAACTCATTGCAGGTAAGGAAGGTTTATACAGAACCAGCGAGCTGTAAGGCCCTGCAATCGCTTCATGGGGCTGGAGAAGAACTTATGAAGAACCGAACAATAATAACGGCATTATCACTGTGAATGACTTTATTGTGCGTACATGTATTATGTGAAAGCTGACCTGTTCTGGCGGTCTGTTTACATATTTAAGATCTTATCTTTAGCTTAAATCTACCAGCAAGAGTCACGTGACTGGAATCTGCAAGATATCTTGCATTAATGTCTTGAATTGTTCTCTGAATAGTTGTGATTCACTAAAAGGTTGAAGGTCTGTAGCTGTAGTGACACAGGTATGGGAAAACATGCTCTGCAGTTTCACTTTGTGATGTGAAAGGCTGTTTCTTGTTTACAGACGTAACGGACATAGTGCACATGCCCACATGACGATAACAGTACCTGAGGAATGACAGAGAAACCACAGTCTCCACAGTTGCATTCCTTACAATTGCAGGCAATTTTAAAGCGCTATAAGCAGTGTCAGTATGAGCAATAATGTGATTATATCAATGAAAGTAGTGGTTTTATGACCGCAAATTGTCTCAGTGAGCTCACTGAAGACGGCGTCGAGACAAAGGAACGCGCGGAAATAAAGCCTTTTTCAGTGACACATCAAAGCCCACAGCTTACATTTATTTGGAATAAAGACTGATTGAGCAGATGCTTCACTTCTTTGACAAGATTAAACAAATACCGTAGTTTAGCTGCTGTGGGGGAAACAGGTATAATTAGTAACCCCTTTTCTAACCACCTGCCCTATCAATGGAAAGGATGCGACATAAGACAAAATGCAGTACTCATCCTAGTTATGATAATGTCATCTGGGTGCATAAAGAGCATTTCAGCACACTCAGAAGGCGTGCCAGCTGAAAGCAACAGATGTCCTGCCACAGGAAGTGAGCATAATACAATTTGTGTTCCCCGGACAGCTGTGCAAATGAACTACTTTTAGAGGGAAAAACCAAACAAGGAAAACACCCTGAGGCAGTCTGCTGATTCATTGCCGTGGTTAAGGTTAAGGATTATTTGGATGCTGTATTGAGCAAACTATACTGCTATGGAGCTTAATGAGGGGCTTAATGAGCGCTGCTGAATTTCAGGTTTTGTACTGCGGGTGTGTACATGTATCTGATCCAGCTACACACCTGTGAAGGGGAGGACAACCGGAGAAGAAGAGCAGTTTAACAGCATCTGTTTGTGAGCCTGCAGTGCCACCTCGTGGTGCACAGTTGTAGTACAGCGTGTACGGCTTTTTATGTGGCATGCAGTGATGTGCTACTCTCATTAATAAAGCGCATGCTGTTGGCTTAACAAACAAGTGAAGGAGCTTTTTAACTACAATACATCATATATTTAATACAATTAATATTTATGCTCCGACGTGAAGGAAAACGTCATTTATATACTGTGTTGGGAGACTTTGTTTGCATTAATAAGCATTGTGTATCGCGACATCCAGTTGCCTGTGCTTACTGTTCTCAACAGATGTGAATAATACCCTCGTGGCCCTCCTCCATCTATGTCAAGCCGAGTGAGAATCTCCTTTGTCTTCTGATGAATAACAAGCTATTGTGGAAACATGAATAATGCCACTGCCGCTCGGATTAGAGCTTCTTTGCAGGCTGCTTTTGAGCACAAGCTTGAAGCACATTTCATAGCATCTGACAAAGTTCACGCGCGGTGGTCTTGACGGAGCGGAAAACGTTGAACTCGTCAGGTGCAAACACACAGCTCGATTCCAGGTGAAATTTCTCTCACCCGGATAAAAAACAAACAAAATCAGAAGTGAGGGAAGTTTGAATCATATTTCCCATGATTCCTCACTGCAGCCCATGGGCAACACAATTCCCAGCTAAGAGTTGATTAGTAATTCCAGCACCTGTCTCCCAGTATTGATGGATTCCATCTTCCTTTATCACGGCGTCGAGCTAGCTGCACGGCTGAAAGAACCTGCACTGCTGCCGAATTGATTGAATGGAATACTGTATGAGCAAGAGGTTACTCTGCACTTAGTGAATGTTGAAATTAGCCATTTGTGTGTGTGTGTGTGTGTTGGGGTGGAGGGGAATGAGGAATAATATGTGCCTATTGCTACTTGGAAAGCTTAAAACATTCATTTGCATTTAAATAATTCACACTTCCAGTCTCTTTAATAGCCCAACTACGAATATTCAACTTCAATTCATTACAGCCAGCGGAATTTATTCTGATTAGGCCGTGATGTAGAAAGTCACCGAATAAACCATTTCTAAATGTGCCTTCCAATTAGGCGCCAAATATATCATGTGTGTAGATAAGTTGCTTTTGACAATGAATTAGCACGTTTAATTGTAACATTCAATCACATTCACTTGCAGAGATTTACCCCGAGGAACATTCTGGCAAATTACCAAGTGGGACCCATTTGTATTTGACCAAACTTAACTCATTATGTTTTGACAGACACTATGAAATATTCAATAACTGGGAAATTCATTTACTTATTATAAATTAGCTAAATAATTTAGCCCCCCAATAAACTATCTTCATCGTGAATTATAGGAGAGGCACAATCTTGGATCGGCGCAGTGCTTACAGGTGCAAAGGCTATGACTTCTGGCAAATAATTACCTTTTTCTATTTACTGATTACCCTCATATGCATATTCCCCCTGGAGAAATGGTATAATTAGATTGTTGCTTCAATATCAAGATGAAGAGACGCGAGCCACTCCCTTTCTCTGGAGCGCAGATACAAATCTCTTCCCTCTTTTTCTTTGTCTGGGTCTCTCACACTCAGCTGGTGAGGGACCCGCGAGAGCCCCAAACCACCACTCAGCCTGTCTTCATGTCTCCTCCATCCACCCACCTACCCACCCCTTTCTTTCACTCGCTCTCTCCAGCTCATCATCTTCCCCTCTCCTAATCGCATTGCTCATTTTTCCATTGACGAGTGAGTATGAGAAAGGGGGGGGGAGAGAAAAAAAAAGCATCACAAACTTTCTAAATCCCATTGACCTACTTCGCCAGACATTTCACTGGGAATTCATGTTAGTGCAAAAGAGTTAGAAGAAGAAATGTTTTCTCACTCCCCCCCCTCATCTCTCTTTCAGCTGGAAGCCATTTTCCTCGCGTCCCGTATTTGATCCTGCGTGAGCACTAGCAGCACATTATACAAGTGGATAAACGCCTTACTGTGGCATAACCGGCGGTTTGGAGCCCTGTCACCACTTTTGACAGTGGCGTAAGTAGCGTGACATCGAAGTTATGAAAAAGCGCCTTTTGGAAGGCCTCGTCTGCGATTGATGAATTTGGCGGCGGAGACGAGATTGAGGGGGATGAATGCTGCTAGGCCTGGAAGACAGGAAGTGGAATTATGACAGACCCATACAGAGAACTGAAGCAGGGAGATGAAGAGAGAATAGAAAGAGAGAGAGAGAGAAAAGGCAATTCAACTCATTTCTTTTAAGCCCCTCCCTGAGGGACTGGAGATGACCCTGCTAACGTCTGTCAAAATTCTGACTCCCTTGAGTGCGATGGCGCTGCATGATGGGAGGGGGTTCGCAGACCTGCCTGAAAAATTGAAAGCTCTTAGAATATTCAGCTAACCCTGTGCGCTCAGCTGGGGGTGGGGATGGGTGTATATGTGTGTGTGTGTGGTGGGTAAACCCAGCGGTGGTGGCAAGAGAGACCCCCCACCCCCCCATGCGCGTGGTGGCCAATGAGCCAAGTACCTTGTCTCGTGGGAACAGTTGTGGGAGTAAGAAGAGAATATAAGCGAGAAAGAAAAAGAGACAATTTATAGAACCTTTAGAGCCAAAGTGAATATAGTTCTCAGGCATGGATCCAAGCCGGGAGACTAACGATGTGGATGTAACCTCGTGCTCCCAATATGCAAACATGATGTCATCAACAAAGAAAGAGTCAAAAACTCCTCCGCCCGAAATCTCTTTGAAACTTAATGGACAAAAAATGAAATAAAATAAGAACCAGCAGGTCTTACCTGTCAGAAACTATTGAAATGAGTACAAGGGGAAACATATTAAGCTTCATTCAACATTTAATTTGGCATTTCATGTCCTATGTTACTCAACGATCCAAAGAACTATTTTGGGATTATACAACCTGGATCTTATTTTCATAGTTTGGCTGTGTTATCATTCACTTTATTACTGATTGCCTTTACCGAGTGTGTTGCTTAGATCTGGAAACACACTGACATATGAAAAACCCCCAAAACAATCCATCCTGATCTCACAGACCCAGCCTTAATTTTCTGATTACCCCAGCTTGCACTATGTAATGGTTCTGGTTCTTGATCTTTGACACCTGTCAAATCGGTCTCAAAACACCATGCAAAACATCACCAATCACAAAGCTTTGAACTGACTGACAAAAACAGGACATTACAAGTGAGGAGTAAATTTAAGTGAGAACTCGAGAGACGCTGCACTCTCATACCGTACAAGAAGTTGACATTTTCTTTGTGGGATTTAAAGAATATGATGGGCAAATGCAGCTATAACGATCTCCAAACTTTGGTTTAGAGGATCCCTTGTTTACCCCTGGCTAAGCTGCTGGCTTGTTTGCGGTCTGACAGTTTGGTGACTAGCAGCCGTGAGAACTTGAAAAGAAATCCCTTTATTTCCTGAAACAACAAGTGGTTCTTTTAACAAAAAAAAAAAAAGGCGAGAAGATGAGGAGAGAGCATAGGCATGGGGTGCTGAGCAACAGTGTGCATGGACTAATTAACTCTAAGTGTTGTACGACATGCTCCCTTCTCACCCGTGTTGTCACTCAGGGTTTGAGTGGCACTAATGAGAGAATTATCTAGCCTCGGACCCTGGTAATGCATTCAAATGAACACCAGCTGACCTGACCTATGAGATGGCTTTTTAATCTCACCACTTAATACCAATCAGACCTGCTTTCTCATGTGCCCACACTGGGAGGGCCCTCTGCTCCAAAACGCTGCCATCCACTTTTTTTTTTCTCCCCCCACTGTTGATCTAAGGGAAAGCGTTAATTGTCTTGGATGACTCGAGGGCCTCTGTTGATATTATGCAGAGAACCTCAGGTGTGCAGGATAAAACAGGTGGATAGGGCTTCTAAAGTGTTTGCCGGGCATCAGAATGAAAGTGGCGACGTGCACGCATGCAAGTGTGTGCGTGTAAGCCCCTTATCACGAGAACCCAGTTGAGGATTAAGAAGGTTAATAAGGTCATGAGTTTGCAACAGAAGTCTGCGACTTACAATAGAGCCTTGGCATTGTTGGATTACCATAATCATCATCCATTGGTGCCCAAACCTGTGACTCAATTGTTGTGCTCACTGTGTTTCCAGATGCAATACAGATGTTCTGCAGGGGTGGGGGGGGAGTGGGGGGTCTGGGGGAATTTAATAATTACCTGCTGGTATTACCAATTTAAGCATTTCTACTTGAGCAAATAAGCCTGTGTTTCTAATTGGATCAAAGTATTTTCAGTTTGTTGTCTAGCGAGCTTAACGGCGACGGTGTGTTTCAGCCAGACAGCTCTGAACTTGTGGGCAACATGAGCAATAAGCCCTTTCAAGTGTTTGGGCTGTAGCCGTTTTTGTTTTGCCAAGTGCTCGAGGTAACAAATAGCAGATCAGCCAGAGTTCAAGGCTGCTTGTGAAATGGTTGGTGCGTTTCAATGCCTTTTGGGGAGACTTTTATTGTTATAAATCTTGTGGCGTGCTCGGAACGTGTACGTTTGAGTGAGTCTGCCGGTGTGTGTGTGTGTGCCGGGGAGTCTTAACTCAAGCATGGGTGAGACGTATATGCTCGCGTAAACCTTGCAAACTTTCAAACAGAAGAGCACGCTATCGGTCCGCACCCGCCCCACCCGCAACCCGCCACCCGCAGGAGCAGCAGAAGTGTGTTGAGACAGGAAAGAAAAAAATATCGATGAGACTTATATACAAAGCTTTTCCACCTCCCTCTTGTCATGAGAATCTATATTTTTTTGTACTGTTCAAAAGCATTCAGGATTTGCCTGAATGAGGGGCAATTAAAAGGGATTTAATAGGATTTCCTTATTGCCGATTCAAGGAGGCGATTCTGATGCGTTCTCTTTTATTTTAAGCAACTCGCCTCAGCTATGTTTATTTCTAAGTTGTACTATTAACTGGGGACTAAGCCCTTTGGAGAGTGCTGCTATCTTGAAAGAAGACCACAGTAATGAGTAGATTGGAAGCCTATAATCATTAAACTCATTCATTTTCCTTATTGTATATGAATATTACATTACCCTGATTTCAGCTAGTTTGAATCAGTTCCCTCTGTGTGTGTGTGTGTGTGTGTGCGCGTGTGATAGCACTCATTGTCAGAATATTGCGGGTGAAAAACAGTAATTCATGCAGGCCCGCTTATAGTACACGCGGCGTTCAATTACATGTTACCAGGTTGGGAGCATTGTGCGGCATGTCTTTACATCATCAGTTGTCACCTAATTGTGCAGCAGAAAATAAAGATCTGCCGGTGTAATGTGTCATGCATGTGTGTGGCAGAGTTCCAGCTTTTTGTCTCTCTATCTCAGCCCACAGGCCCATTGTCATGCAGGCGCCCAGGTAACAGGTCCAGTCGTCACTCATCCGCCTGACGGCCGCCGCTATCTACCCTGACGCTGACTGATGATGGGAGTGTGGGATGGGAGAGTGTGTATGTGTTACACAGTGTGTTACACCAAAGGGGGTAGCAGGCAGGCAGTGAAGGAGGCGCGCTAGATACCACCCTGGCTGAGGGCGGTGTTCGAAGCAAGCGAGTGCCGCTGCATTCACTGACCTTGCCCATGAGTAATACTGGAGCTAGTGGGCACGAGGAAAGCGGCGTCGGTGAGATGGATCAGTTGTCACATGGGTAGTGTGACACTGGAAGAAAAAAGTCGCAATTGGGTGGACGGCGCGGTTTAGCTGTGTGTCATGGCGGGCTAATAAAAAAAAGATGC